GCGGCCATCCTTCCAATTCCACAAGCACGTGCTGCGCTCGATGGGCTACCAGCTCTGACCCGAAAGCAATCTGCTCATTCGTCTCGCTTTGTCTTCGAGCCGCCGTAGAAGCAGGATACTCAGGGCCTCGTAACCCCACACCTTCCCTTGCGAAAATAGCCAGCCCACCTGACGGAAGATGTCCATCTGTAGGCTTCCCAGGAATAACCATCATCTGCCACTTGCGGGAGCCAGCCCATGTGCTGAGGGCCTCGCATTCCCAGTCCAAGTGTCCTATTTCTTGCGCTAGAACAACCAGCGCGCTAGTCCTTTCCAATCGAAGCTTGAGCGTCCGCTTCCCTTGACTGGCATTGAAGGTCTCGAACAGGTGCTCGCTTGTCATGGATGCAGGCGCAGGTACCGCACATGTCTTTCCACGACGCACAAGCAGCCCACTTACGCGCGGCAGGGTGCTAGGATTTACACCCTCCTGTTGGCACTGCGGACACTTCATCTGTCTTACGAAACTTGGTTTTCTGGATGTCGGCCACCATGTCGGAAAGCTGGTCCATGGAAATGTCGTGGCCGTGTTCTCCCTGGCATAGCTTGGTATGAAGAGCTTCGACGTCCTCCGTGGTCCACTGGATGCCGTTCCCGCGCTTGGAGGACTCGCCATTGGCGTTTCCTTCGCCTCCGCTACTTGGCCCATCAAGACCATCATCAGACTCAGGGCCAACAGGGACTTGCACACCATTCCTTGGCGCAGGAGCCTTGGGGATGGATGCCTCCCGCTTCTTCTGCGCCAACTTTTGTAGCTTCTGGAAATTGGCGTCCGCGCGGCACTGGTGATAGAACTGCAGCAGGCCAGGATCCTCCTGGAAGTCCGTGAGGTTGACGTCGAGCGCCATAATATCCTCGGGGATGGCGGGGGCAGCGCCGTCGGAAGCTTCACCACGGGCAACTTGCACTTGCCGCTGATGGCGCTCTGCCTCCGCTTTGAACTGCTCGACCTCGACCTTCTTCGCCTCGATCGACGCCGACTTTTCCGGCATCTTCTCCTGCAGTCCTTGTAGCTGCAGCAGCAATGCCTCGCGGTCCTTCGTGAGCTTGTCCAGCTGCGCCCTGCTGCGCCCCAGCTTCTGCGATGCCAGCTTGTACGCCGTTGCTGGAGGCCGCAGGTCGCGGATCTGCTCCCTGAGCTTGTCAACCTCAGCCTTGTGGTTCGCATGGGCCGCACCGCCCTGCTCTTCGTACTTGACAGCTTCCTTGAGGGCACGCTCATGGTAGTTGATATTTTCCTGCAGCGCCGTCCTCTTCGCGAAGCTGGGGCCCTTCTCACTCTTCTCTTCCGTGGGCTGGTGCTGGTCGCCTTCAGCCTGAAGCCGAGGTGTGGGGCCACCTTTGCCGACGAGGTTCCGCAACTTCGCGATCTCGGCTTCCATGAGCTTGAACTTCGAGCACCACGGCGCAGGCTTCTCGACGAGCCCACTACCTCCAGCTCGCTTCGACGGTGCATCACCTGCGCGCGCAGCTGCATCGGCCTTCTTGGCCGCGGTGATGATGCGCTGCGGCGCCTGCTTGCCACAGCTGCACTCGATGCGGCACTCCCAGTTGCCATCCATTCCACAGGAGCAGCTCCAGAATGGCTTCTTCGAACCTCCCAGCACCCTCTGCCTCGGCTGCTGCTCCTGCGCCTTGGCCGGCGCTGGCGCCATCGCCCCTGCTGAGGAGCCGTGATGGCCGTCCAAGCGCTGGGCCGCACTGCGCAGCCGCGCCGCCAGGCCAGGAGTCCAGCGCCCCGCCCAGGCGTGGAGGAGGGCGCGATCCTCCTTGCGTCGGAGTCGCGCTCGATGGTGGGCGGCGGTCTCCCTGGGAGCCGCCGTCGCGCGAGCGCTAGTCTCAGCGCGCGACAGGAGACGAATCCCCCTCGCCTGCAGCCCCGCAGGCGCCCGAAGGGGGGCGGCAGCTCCTCGCGAGCCGAAAACTGGAGAAGGAGGAGAAGGAGGAGGATGGGAGGGAGGAGGAGTAGGAGTAGGAGTAGGAGTTGGAGTAGGAGTTGGAGTAGGAGGAGGAGGAGAAAGAGAGGACGACGCCGATGAGGGAGGCGACGACGAGGTGGAGACCGATGAAGACATGAAGGGCGAGGACGTGCATTCGGCGGCGCCTCCAACTGCATCCGCAGCTACCGAATCATGCCTCGCCAAACTCCTCCTCCTTCCTCCTCCTCCTCTTCCTCCTCCTCCTCTGCCTCCTCCTCCTCCTCCGTCTCCTCTGGCTCATCCTCATCCTCCGCCTCCTCGCTCGTCCGCCTCCTCCTCCTCCGCCTCATCCTCTTTTTTTTTTGACCTCGCACCGCCATGCCTCCGAGACTGGACAGCCATGCACTGAGCCGAGACGCACGTAGAGCATGGCCACGGCCGCGCCACGGTCGGGGCCGTGCCCCCGTGGCGCGGCCTAAGCGCGACCAGGGAGCGCAGGAGACCGTGCTCCGCGCTCCCTGGTCGGGGTAGGGGGCGCAGGA